AGGACATAGTATCCGGCTCTTCGGTGCAGCGTATTTTGTGGAGGAAGTTAAGAGAGTGGATTTCGTACAACTGACGGGCGGTAGGCCAGCCCAGTTCCTCTCGCACGTCCGATATGTGGCCAAATTTTCTTCGGCCGGACACAACGCGCAGCGCAAAATTGAGAACTTTTTGGAGGCGTTGTGTGTTTTTGTCCGACCCGTTTCCATAGACCGAGAGACAATATCGGACGTGCGAGAGGACCAACGCGCTGACCACGGTTGGCAGAAGTTCACAAGGGATGTGGTGACGCACGTGGGACAGCCCAATGAGGATACCGTTGCATTTTTGGACGAGGGCCGATACGTGAGAGTCCCAGGTGAGGTGCTTGTCGAAAACCACGCCAAGGTTCCTCACCGTAGGGCCCTCACGGTTCGTGTCCTCACGGAACCGAATTGAGATGAGATCCAGGCTGCGGCAATTTTGGCGCGAGCCAAAAACGATGAGCTCAGTTTTAGCTGTGTTAACTTTTAAGCCGTTGGTACGAATACCTTGGTATGATACCTTTTTCCAGAGCGGAAACCGAGACACTCACTCTTCCAGAGCCAGTGTCGAGGATGTGGCCGCTCAAAATATTGTAGCTCCTTATTTCTGTTTGAACCATTGATTTTCGCCGGGATCCTGGTGCCAATATATGTCCAGTGTTTATTTGTCGAGCTGTCGAGTCTTCCTGAGAGCCACCAACAAGCATTCGTTATCGGTTGTTAGGGCTACGTTTTTTTTTTCAAATTCAATGGCTTTGGTCTAATTATTTTTGAAACACCAAATGAGCAATGATTGTGCTAGTGAATGCACTCTAGCATTATGGGGTTGGCATAGACGCCTTCATTTTATCCCTACCTAGACTAAACTCCACCATTCATAGGTCAATAAGCTGTGACTTTTCATGTATTGACTGTGTGAGCGTGACTTTTCGAGCCCCCTGTGTTACCGTTACCACAGCTAGCTGTTGTTGAGCTCGGCGTAAGCTTCGTCTTTGGGGCATTCCATGTCAACCGGGACAGCCAAAATCGGCCATCTCTGCGATTTTGTTCAAACTTGGTATACTTATTGGCTATTGGGTGAAACCTTTGAGGGTGAAAGGATTTTGTCATATGCCCTCGGGCTACAGAGATACAAGTCGCTAAACTTCTGCTTTTTTAGCAGAATTGGACGTGTATTGCAATCTTAAAAGATCTATAGCTTTAACATTTTTGAAGCTATTAATTTCAAACAAACTGAAACGTGTACACAAGGAGTTATGCTAGTAAAATTTGACAATTTTTACATTTTTTGGTGATTTTGAATTTATTTTATTTTGAATTAATTTCTTAAAATGTAATTTGTGAAAAATGGGTACCCTTCGATTTTGCTCAAATTTTGATATTGTCTTCCACTAGACGTAAGGCACACGTGCTGAGAAAATTAGAGTCGGCCAACGAATAACTTTGGATGATATAGCAACAAGTAGTGCAACGTCGCACGGGCGGTGGAAGGGGCCGATTTCGCTAACTCCATCTGTTTATCGCCAATAATTCACGCCATAATTATTATATTAACGTCAAACTTTCAGTATCTGTCCAGAATCGAATTGCAAATCCTCCCGTGCAAGGAATAGGTAAATCGGTCCACAACTTTTCTAGTAATAGCGGTGTAAAGTCAAACATTCCTGCCGGAGCGGCTCAGCGGCCGGCGCCGGCCGTTGCCGCCTGAATGGTAGACTGTGCCGGCGCGGGACGGTTCCATCTTTGCACCGCGCTTCTTACCGCTGATTGATAGATTCGTGTCAAATTTTGTGTGTAGGCTTAAAAATGTACAGTCAATCTAATGTTCAAATAAATATGAAAATCAACTGGTAAAATTAAATTTTTAGGGTGCAAACACAATCTGTGACTATGACGTTTCCCGCGTCGGCCGATCCCCGCCTCTGCCGGCGACATCTTACTCTTAGCAAGCCACTAACTGCCAAATTTATGGTAAGATTAACTAGAGATTCTCATAACACTACAAATGTCGTATAAAGGAAGAAATAGGAAAATCGGCCAGTATCTCTTAGAGCTATGGGCGTATAAACGCAAAATAGTCACTATAGCAAATTTGATCACGTTTAACCTCATTTGATCTTGAATATATTTATCTAGGGCCATGAACTTGGCACACGATAAAGTTCCTCACCGCCCCACCTACAATTCAAATTCCGTTTTTTTTATACCTTTTTTGGCTAAGCCGGGCTTTTCTCCCCTAGCGCTGGGAGTCAGGCTTATATTCTTTTTGCAACCAAAGAGAGGCGCTGCCCGGAGAATGCCCAATTTCATCATTAAAAAACTGGCTTACGATGACCAGCTATCTTCGTGGCTTAGTAGTAAGTGTGCCAAGTGTACCCACCTCGAAATCTAAAGGTCGCTGGCTCGCAGCGGGTCAGCCTGAAGTGTTTCACACGCATTTGTTAAACACTTTGTTAAGCATCTGGCCAGCCGGCAGCTGTCGTGAGGGCTAATGTTCGTATCTAGGTAGCATTTGGCCAGTCGGTAACTGCCGTGAGGGCTGTATATATTTACGCGTGTTAGATTAGGTCAGGTCACGTCAGGTCAGGTTAGGTTTGTTTGCTTTGGTTTGGGGTAGAAAGAAGCATCTCCGGTAGCGCCTCTCCTTGGTTGCTAAAACGAAACACGCGAGTGCCAGACATTACGAAGTCCAAAAGACAGTTACGTAGACGTCGGCCCATTCTGGATTTTTTTATATGATGTAGCTAATGTATAGGAGAATAAAATATGTAAAAATCAGCAAAATCGAAGGGTACCCATTTTTCAGAAAATCAAAATTTATTTTTTGAATTTTAATTAGGTTCACTAATTAGTTAATTACGCAAATATTGTTATCCTCAATTTAAAGCCTGACCTATTCCCTCCATTTCACACTTTGTCTTGTGGTGATATGCCTAAAACTTCAATGGTTATGACGCTTTAAAGATGATAATGTGCCTTGCCTAAGTCAATGTTTGATGACGTGTGTCTCGGAAACGTGACGTCATATCTTGACAAAAATATGTCTCCTTTCTTTTCACATATAGATGAGTAGTTTCACAAAGTTTCGCAAAAATCGGAGAAGGTGAGGTTCAAAATGATCATTTTTTGTCCCACTTGACGTGGAATGCCCCCTTTGCGAGTTACAGTAGCCGCTCTTTCCTAACGCTGGACCGGTGGCCGTTTGATTTGTTGGTCATTTACCAGTGTTCCGTCCTTTCTAATCGGTCTCAAACGGACTACAGTCGATTTTCGGCGGCGCCCACGCGTATGTTTGTCAAGGTTTGCGTGTCAACTGTTGGCGATCATAGTCCGGATTGTGTTCCTTTGTTATGAAACTGGTGACCTGTTTTGACGAACGTTTCACTTCATAACAGGTCTATGACGATGTGATATTTACACAGTCATCGCTGCATATGGCTGAATGCTCCTCAGTTTCTAAATGCGTTTATTAATTATGTCATATTAACTTTATTTAGTTGTGTGCTCCCTTCTTCATCTCCATTCCCTACGTCTTACCTATTGGCTATCTGCGTGGGTAGCATTGATCATTATAAGTGAATAATTGCCTCGACTGTCTCAGTATATGTTGGTTCGTTTGTTGATTGGTTTGTTGGGCTAAATCTATCCCATCACTGGGGGTGTCCATTTTCCGACATCGATCTATCAACACGTCTCAGGAAAGGGTGGACACTGGACATATCATTAAGCAGCAGACCTGGCCGTGCGCATGACGATCGAAGCGCAAATAAGCGGCGGTGTCGCTTGTTTGAACTTCAGGGAGTGCGTAATGAAATGTCGGCGGATCAATTACAAACTGCAACCTAATGTCATGTCCCATTCCAACGGCTCATTTTCTGACAGACTGGTATTGGAATCTACACTGTCGCTGGTTCAGCGGGACGTTTAATCTTCTTTAAGATTTCGCTAACGGTTTTTGGATTCATTAACGTTACCCGATCGGTACCGTCTCGTTTTTCCGCTCTAGCAATCGATGTCGAACCAATCAGTGTTGACGGTGGACCTCTGTCTCGTAGCGCGGTGTCCGCAGGTTACTGTCGGTCGGCCGTGACCTGGCAGTTCGGGCCGTCTCACTCTGGGGACTACTGCATGGCGCTGGCCGTCTGCACAGGAACTGCTCAACACAGGGGACCGCAGAGGGGCGCTGGGTGGATGCATTGCACAGTCATTTTACAGGGGTTGTTGGGCACAGTGAACCGCTGACGGGGCTGGGTGGATGCACAGGAGCTGTTCGCGACAGGGAACCAGAGCTGCGCTGGCACAGGTGTTAGCGGGTCATAAATTCGCGGTGTGGCGTCCCCGCAGTCCCCCCGCGTGGCTGGTCTGTGTCGCTGTCTGTGGTGCAGTAGGCTCGGCGCCCCCGCACTGTGACCACACGCTGCGGCACATCCCGCCGGTAATCGGCCGTCTGACCCGACCCTTTGAGACTCTGCTGTCTGACCCGACCCTGTGAGACTCTGCCGTCTGATCCGTCCGCTCTGCCGACTGACCCGCTTTTCCTGGACGCAGCTCCGGACTGTCTCCGGACCAGTTTGACCCGCCCTCTCTTCACCGGCTCCGAGCTAAGCCCCGTCAGCTCCCTACCAGCTCCGTCCCACTCCTCCGCACTAATTTGACACTGTTCTGACCGTCTATCTTCGTCCCTAGCTCCAGACTGATATCAGACTACTGACCGTCACTTTAGTCTGCCTGTCCTGGTGCTACTCCGAACTGCTGTTCCCTCCCGCAGTTCCGCACTGGTGTGAGACTAGTCTGACAGCCTCTCTCCGTCCCGTGGCTTCAGACTACCCTGATACTATTCTGACCTTCCGCTCGCCCCCGCAACTCCGGACCCTGGTGGTGCTCGAGTCTGCTCAGACCGCCCCTCAGAGCCCCGCACTGAGGGATCTTAGTCTGCCTATCGTGGGTAAAGTCTGACCGTCTCTCTCCCCCTCCCACAGCTCCGTACTCTGGTGGTACTCAGCCCGTCCGATGACGGAGGCGTGATGGCGCTGCCCGTGGGTAACAGCAGCAGCGGGGGCGGCGGAGACCCGTCGCCCGACCCCAGCGGAGGCGGCGTCATGGAGGAACTCTTCCCGGCCGTCATCCAGTGCTTCAGCGTCACACTCTGCGGGTCAGTACAGCCGACAGCGTCACACTGTGCGGGTCAGTGTGCTGGATAATGATGAACGATCAGGGTGTCGGCAGAGGTAGGCACTTTGTAAATGAATTTTTGGTGTACGTTTATCAGTCGATATCAATGGTTGATTATGATTACGATCAACTTCGTCTGTTATTGTTGCTTATGCAAATGTTGATGAGCGCAGGTCCCCGTGTCCGTTAAATTTTTGAGGCAGGCTTGTAAAATGTTGTATACCGAGTGACCCAGAAAAAAAAACTTCCCAACCTTAGATATGTAGTTCTCAAAAAGTAGTTAAGATATAATATTGAAACTTTGAATAGCCTGCGCTACATATCTTCAGTAAGTAGTGCGATTTTTTATGCTATTCGGTGATTTACTCTTTAAACCATTTGCTTTTAAATCATGCCAAGTATGTAAAAGTTCCACTTTCATTCCGGCAACATGGCCTGCAGCCATTACCTTCCACTGGCTTATACTCTCATCGACGGTGCAGGGTGACACGTTTTCTCACGCAACCACGATAGCTCTCTGCATGGGTGTCGATTTCTGCCGAGTTTTGGGTGCCGGAACTCTCCCCACTCCACGCCTGCTTGACTTTTGTAGCTGTAACAGACGGCGCGGGCTACGGTCAACGCTAGGGTCGCGGTGGATTTGTGGTGCTTGGGCACCCGCAACTCAGCAGATATTGACATCCATGGCTCTAAGCAAGCGGCACCAATGTCGGATGAAGTCCCCACTGTTTTAGCCGCCTTCAGCTGACTCAAATGCTCTCCGGGCTGAATTCCTATGAAAAGGTAGCCTTTCCATCAGCTTCCTGTCGGCTACCGGCAATGCTGCCTTTCAACAGCTATGCCACGGAATATGTATTCGTAGAGTCAGGGGTGTAGGATCGCAAAATAGGTTGGGGGGGCTGAACCCCGGACGCCGCGCCGGTGGGGTGGCGACAAAAGGTGCTGAGCGGGGGGGGGGGGGCGGGGAAACCAGCAGTGGAAAAGGTGTTGACCGGGGGGAGGGAGCGTGGACCATGGTGGTGAAAAGCGGGTCTATGACTTGAGTGATATGACCTATTCTCTCCCCCTGGATCCAAGTTCAGGCTTATAAAATAAGGCGTAGGTATTTATATTCCGGCTCAACGTTTTGCAACCACATTTATGCTTTTCAAATGCAAAGTGATGCCATTAAAACGGTACATGTATGCTCTTCTTTAGGGCTGATGAGAGATTCAATTTCTTGATTGATTCAGTGTTTAGATTCCTATCCCCTAGTTTGGCAAACTGTTTTAGGGTTTCCTTGGAGGTACCCCTGCAATTTCCTAAACTAAAATCTAGGTACTCATTTTTCACCAATCACCCACTTCATTTCAGAAGGGTCAAGTTTTTGTGTAAAGATTGTAGACTGTTTAATGGCTCCCTTTTGGCTGTTTCAGAGACCTCCTCGACTACTTCTAGGGCCACGATAGCGGTATCGACAAAGTAGGCGGATCGTGATCGGTAAAACAGGACAGTCACAGAACAATTTCTGTTGTAGTATTTCGCAAAACCCCCGCATTCTGCATATCATTGGAAGCATAGTTTTGTTTTTAAAGTTGTAAGTCGTGTAGCCACACGAATACTCCCAAAATGCACAAAACAATTGCAGGCACGTACCTAGGATTTGGCCCAGGGGGGGGGGCGGAGGATCCGGGGGGGGGGGGGGCTTCCTCTCTACAGGGCGCCTCCTCTCTACAGAGGGCAAGGGAGGATCTAGGCGAACGCTTTTGTGGGGGGGGGGGGGGGTACACGTCGGCCGACATGACTGATCTGATGGATGAATTCTGACGACCGGGGGAGGGGAGCGAGTATGTCGAGATCAAAAGGCATTTCGTCTTCGTCGTTTCTATAAGATGAAGCTTTATCGTTCTAAGTCACTCGGCTCATTGGTTTTAGTTAAATCCACCTATGCAAGTGCGTCGCCACGGATTTCTTACTTGGGGGGGGGGGGGGTGGCGTATCGACCGACTTAAAAACATAGAAGTTGATATTGTTACCGCACTTTTAGCGTAATGCATTAGTAGCATACAGTAGCGATCTCTCTTATTGACCTGTTAACGAACCGACGGCGCGAAGCGCTGCGAAAATTTGCAAAACAAACGTTTTTTTAAGAATGATGTTCCACTTTTCACAGGCAAATATTCGCCTGGAGTGGTAGGCTGTGCCGCATCACACGGGCTGAGTTCACGAATTATAACTTTGTCCTAATGCTCACAATCGTCAGGCGCTTAATTGCGTGATAAACGGCACAACTAGCGCTCCAGTCAACTGATAGCTTCTGAGGAGTGGAACATCATTCTGTAGTCGACTATACACTTAGGGAATTTTGATTCAATTTGACACGGTTGGTGTTATTACAGTCACGACCTTTCTTATTGATTGGTGTATGAATCGGAGGCGCGGAGCGCCGAGAAAATTTGCAAAAGCATTTGTCAAAACACTGCTCCAAATCACAAATTTTACAACTCTTTTAGTATGGTAGTACAAGCCGGAGTTCCTTCACACTCCATAGTACACATATGAATTCCGATTCAATTTGACACGGTTGGTTGGTGTAATTACAGTCACGATCTCGTATTGACCTGTAGGTACACAAATTTGCAAAAGAAAAACACACACAGAGGGGCCTCCTCTCTAGAGAGGACCACCTCTCTACTGTGGGCCTCCTCTTTTCACAGGGCCTATCAACTACAGAAGGCCTCCTCTCTACAGAGGACTTCCTTTCTACTGAGGGTCTATCTCTTTCAGAGGGCACCCTTTCTTCAGAGGACCTCCTCTCTACAGAGGACCTCATCTCTGCAAAGGGCCTCCGGCCTCCTCTCTACTGAGGGAGTCCTCTCTACATACCTCTCTACATCCTCTCTTCAGAGGGCCTCCTCTCTACAGCGGGCCTCCTCTCTTCAGAGGGCCTTCTGCTTTCAGGCGGTCTCCTTTCTACAGAGGGCCTCCTCTCTAACTACACAGGGCCTTCTTTCTACAGATGGCCTCTTCTCTACAGGGGGCCTCCTTTCTACAGAGGGCCTCCTCTCTAAAGGGGCCTCCTCTCTACAGAGGGGCCTCCTCTCCTCTTACAGAGGGCCTCCTCTCTACTGAGGAGTCAGAGGGGCCCTAGCGGTCAGACACAGACACTAGCAGTTATTCACAGGAGGCCCCAGGAAGTAAGAAGGACCCTAGCTGTCAGGCTGGTCAGAGGCCCTGAATATCCTGACGTGATTTTTGGGATTCCCTTGAATTTCTTTCGCCTCCGACGTGATTTTGGCCCCGTGGCCTTCGGCCCACGGGGGCCTCCTGCAAACCCCGAGGGGGGGGGGGGGGGCACCCCGTCCATCTTGGGTACGTCCCTGAACAATTGTCCTCATCGTTCGTCCTACCGTCCGAGTTCCACCTACATGGCCTTGCACCCACCCCTAAACAAACGAAACGAAGCTGTTGAGTGTCGCGCCTTTGTTTTGTTGTGTTTTCTGCTTTCTGCGCCGCTTTAGCGTGCGTTCGGTATCCGGAAAATATCGTTTGGATATTCTCGGCCGGAAAATTATTGGTGGGTGCCTATCTTCAACATGTCTCATTATCGCGATACCGAACGTAATCCCCGATAATTATCGCTGATGCCGGATAATTTTCCCTGATTATCCGGATGCCGAAGGCACGCACTAACATCCAAAGGTTTTGTGCTGTATCGTCAGCTGATTATGCCTGCGATGGCGTCAAATTCCGTAAAAAGGATTTGGCCTTTTTCTGAAGGCGAGACATAAGAGATATCTTAGAAAAAAAGATGAAAAAACATTTAAAAGTTACTGAATGTGCAAATTTCTTTCACCAAATCCTTTTAAGATAATGCCAGTTTATTTTTATTCATTATGACGTTATCATTTTAAAGATTTGACATAATCATAAACGATCAGCTGACGATATTTCACCGGCCTTGATTTCACCTCTATTTTACTATTTATAGTCTTGTTACAAAAACGGTGTGACAACGTTCGGGAGGTGAAATAACCCGGTTGATTTTTATGTGTACCCTCCTGGTTTTGTTTTGCTAGTATGTTCTTTCTAATGACTCGAAAGTCATTTTATAAATTAAATTTACTCCCTTTATTGTAATGCACATTTTCAAAGCCCCCAGTTAGTTTTAAGGCCAAAATTGGGTAGTTAGTCGTAAAGCAGAGAGGCGCTTTACCGAGACTCCAGAGATGCTTTCTAATCGGACCAAGGCCCAAGCCAAACCAAACCTAACCAAACCTGACCTAAACTCACCTACAACCTACAACCAAAAACATGCAACCAGGAACCTACAACCTAAAATCTACCACCTTAAACCTAAAACCTACACCCTACAGCCTAACCTACAGCGCATCTCCTTGGTCGCAAAAAGAAGTGTGACGCCTGCTTTACTACTACCCAAAATTGTAACTTTGCCAAGTTGAGCTTTCTTTAATTTGTAAATATTTTATAATGTTGGGGGGGCTGCCTGGCAAGTTGGGGGGGCTGACCAGCAGGTTGGGGGGGCTGAAGCCCCCCCAACTGTATAGGATCCTACGCCCCTGCGTAGAGTATATATTCCGTGGCTATGCTGTGGTCTAATGGCACAGATGACAGAATGAGGAACCAGTGTGCTCTAATTTTTCCCTTATCCGGTCGATTGCCTGTTTGATCTACTCAAAGTGAGCAAGCTCAGTAGCAAGCCGTGCGCCGTACCCAAGGCCGTACATTAGGGCCGTATCTCTCTTTTTGCTTGAGACGGTGGTGAAACGAAGACATCTGTGAGCACGATCAAGGCCGTATATACGATCTTGACTCAGTATTTTAATATCTGGCATACGAGTAAGACAAAAAATAAATCAAAGAATTGCCGCACGTGCTGCTTTCATTCACGTGTTTGAGTTCCTGGGACTTTTTGTAACCTAGGACCGAGAGGGCCTTGGGACCGAGGGCGTCTAAACCAAACCTCTTCATGGTTCAAGACCGGCGAAAAGCAAAAGCTTGTCACTTTATTCCAGATAGCAGTGCTGGCGCGGTGTATACTGTACAGTTTTATAATTTGGCATACCAAGGCGCAAAGAGGTGGCGCATGCGTTGCGAAAATTTCGCCTTGTTATTTGCGTTAATATCCGAGATAATGATATTTAAGGTTGTGAACGTTTTTTTGGGGGCCACCCGGTAATTAAAGCTTGTTCGGTCATTCTGTTAGCTGATGATATAAATATTACATAATATAAATATTATCAGCTATATAATAAAAATATAATGAATAATTTAAATAAAAAGGTCCAAGTGAGTTGTATCTGCTAATAAAAAACTATGTCCCTATCAGATAGGTAATCTGTTCCGTCAGTTGCGCACGGCACTAATCTGTATGGTGCGCCGATTTCAGGTACCTGGCCGGCCGGTTCAAGGTCATCTCCAGCCATGAGGGGCGTGGCATTGAGCTGTTTGTCGGCAAGTTCGCGCTGCCGACTCTCATCTTCCTCTCGATGGCCACGCTGGACTTCACGTAAGGAGCTGGTCCCGCCTGTGGGTGGGGTCTGTGTGGGGCGGGCTGTGTAGCCACACTGGACTTTACGTAAGCGACTGGCCCTGGCTGTGTGAGGGGTACTGTGGGCAGGGGTCTGCAGTTCGTGGGTTATGGTGAGAACTGAGCAGGAAGGACACTGCCGGATCGCCGACTATTAGCTCATCGGGTGATTTGATGGGACAAACGAGTAAAGCCAACAATCCATGTGCTTACGCCGGTTTCAAAGAGTGTCACTCGTATGCATGTTTGTGAAACGCTGCTATTATGTTTCTGAATTATCGATACACTGCTAGTCACACCTTGTTTAGATCTACCGGACGTTGAAGTGCCGCAGCTTGCCGAACGTTGTGAGCTGGTGTATCGGCCTCCCCGGCTCTCCGCCACCCGACCCCTCATCACCCTCCTGGCCTCCCGCAGCGTGGTCAACTGGAACTTTTTGTTGGCGATCCTGCTGTCCAAGTCTGCCGTGTTCGCGGTGGTGCTGATCGGCTGCCTGGTGGTGACGCGGCCGTCCGACTACTCCACCGGCGCCCTCTACGCCATCTTCTGCACCCAGAGTAACGACTTCGCGCTCGGATATCCCATCAGTGAGTGGAGTGCAGCCGCCCGCGGCTTTATACCTCCTCAGTGGCATAATTACTCGAACATGCATGCAATGTGTTTGTTATGCGAATATTACTCCGTTTTTGTTACACATCACGAAAACGATAGCTTTTGCGTAAATCCTTTATCATTTCACATACCAGCGAATAGCCACGCACGTTGTGGTTAATGCCGCCAATGTACAAAGATGTACTTACACTTTAGAGATAAGTTTCTTGCACACCCACCCCAGTGTCTGACACTGTCCGCTCCCCTGGCAGTCTCTGCGATCTACAAGGACTCCCACCCGGAGTTTGTCAGCTACCTGTACCTGGTGGCTCCGGTGTCGCTGTGCCTGCTGAACCCGGTCGGCTTCGTGCTGATGGAGCTCTGGAAGCGGCGCCACCTCTCCCTGGCGCTGGAGAGCGGTGACGGCCCAGCTCGCCGGCGAGTCTCCGTCTGCCGGCTGGTGCTGCTCTCGCTGAAGGGCGCCTTCACCAACCCCATCGTGGTGATGACCGGACTGGGCGTCGTGGGGAACGTGGTGTTCCAGCACGTCATACCCAAGGTGCTCTACAACATCCTCAATGTGAGTGGCAGCACAGACAGCCGGAGACTGATCGGCTTTGGCACATTATGTCGTGGATGTTGGAGTTGTTTTTTTCCACAATTGGATAATTAACTGTGAAGTAGACAAGTAGTTCATTTTAGCTCATTTCTATTTTCGTCTTTTCATGTTTAAAACCTTTCACGACTGACTCTTCCTCTGCCGAGCCGTCTCTCAGACGTGTCTATCCCATTACTGACCTCTTCCCCTCTGCCGAGACGTTTCTCTCCCACTACTCTATTCTCCCGTCCCCAGACGTTCGCGCAGTCTTACTCTGCCACTACACTGAGTACTGACTATCCTCTGGTCCCCAGACGTTCTCGGAGTCGTACTCGGCCACGGCGCTGTTCATGCTCGGCCTGCACATGGTGACCGAGTCCAAGTCGTCGGCGCGCTCCGGCCGCTACGTCGTGCCCTTCATCTTGATCGGCGTCAAGTCGGTGGTGATGCCGCTCGTCACCCGCGAGTCCATGAGCCTGCTGCAGGGATCCAGCACCGCCAACACAAACATCACCATCGTGAGTTGAGCTCTGAAAATTCGAGGGTTGAGCATTATTGTTACATAGAAATGTGTGATTGCCTTTTGCCAACCAAAGCGTTTGGTTGCTCTCAACACTCTGTCGTTTGAGTTCATATCACCTCTGTGTTTTCGCTGTGGTCTCTGACGCGGCTGTGTCCGTTCCTCAGGATCTGACCAACTACGCGTTTCTGTACGGAATCCTGCCGACGGCGCCCAGCGTCCTGGTGTACGCCACGCACTACGAGACCGCCGTGGAGGTGGTAAGTACGGTGTGGGGTGCTGAGTGCAGTATCAGATGGTAGGTAAACACCCAGCGTCCTGGTGTACGCCACACACTACGAGACGGCCGTGGAGGTGGTGAGTACGGTGTGGGGTGCTGAGTGCAGTATCAGATGGTAGGTAAAACACCCAGCGTCCTGGTGTACGTCACACACTACGAGACGGCCGTGGAGGTGGTGAGTACGGTGTGGGGTGGGTTCGTTGAGCGGGCGGCGGGCGTTGTGACTATACATACAGGGTGTCCCATAAGTTCGTTCTCACCTAAATTTTACGTTTTTAGGCTCTCTTGCTTAAAGGCACGCTGAAATTGGTTCGTTACTGAGCTTCCGTGGTTGCCATGGCTAGTAGAAATATGCTCCACAGTAACTAATTTCTGTAGACAAAATAGTTTTTGCTAGAGAGCCCGTTTCCTACACAGACGGCTAACGCCGCAACATAGAGGTCTCCAACACGGGTACGTCTCGGTATTTAGTCAGCACGTGACCATTCGCGACGAATTGAGGGTGATTGAGGCCTACCAGTCTGTAGACAATGTCCATCGCTAACTGGACGCACAGTCAGCAAGTGACACCGATGATTTGTCGGGAGTCAATCATTGCAAGTTTATCCTCTTTTTTGTCAGCTCTCAGGAGTGAGCCATGTGGCCAAAACTGTGTAGCGCCAAAGTGGCCATCAAAAAGGTCAAAGGGTTAGAAAGTTGGTAAGAGGACTTTTCAGGATGGATTACCAGCTGTCTAAAATTGTTCTTACGGGGTACATAACTCAAGGTGACTTAAGCTTTGCTTACCGGAGGGCTCAAAACAGTCAAAAACGTCTTAATATGGCCAAACATGAGTTTCGTTATGCCTGAGGCTAAAAAACTAAAGGGCTGAGGACATCAACCAGGTCATCTGGACTAACTAGTCCACGTTCGAGATGAAACACCCGTCCAAACCCGAAAACAACCCCATAAGGGCGAAGGAGGAGGCCTCCGTTTCGTCCCGTTATGTTCCTATGCGAAAGGCCAAGATCACGGTATTGTGGGGTTATAGGCGTCCAGACGCTGACCAGGTTGCGATTGGTGTCCCAGAAACAGCTTTGGGAAGCATAATGCTTTTCTAAGAAAATCTAGGAGGAGTTTCAGCCCTCAAGCTGAACTCGAACCGCGAGTATGAACACATTTATAGAGGAGAAAATGGCATCCGAGAGGTCGTAGGCCCATCTTCAGGCAAGACAGTGCATCAGTGCACAGGCCAAGCAAAGCTTAAAAGTGGTGGAAGGAGACTGTGACAGGCGTTTGTGGCAAGACCACATGCCAGGCACCTCATCGGATCAAAATTTCATAAAAAATTGTTGGTTATGCTGAAATTTAGGCTCGTCGAAGCGTAGCGCTGTTCCAGCCTCGAGGAGCTCACGGCGCATGTCAAGTCAGTCTGGGTTAACTTTAAGCCTGCTATGCAGCCAAACATGCCGGTTGGCATGCCGCAGCATGTGCTCATGTGTTTGCCTATTAAATGGGGAGCACATTGAGGGGTCATAAATATATCAAAACGCAAAGTACTCTGTTTCACATGCAAATAAAATGTGAGAACGAACTTATGGGACACCCTGTAGTGTCTGGTCTTGAACCGGTGAGGTGAATGGTGCATCAAGTAATGTAGCAAAAAGTGACTAGAGAGACGGAATCGGGCGTGAGGATTTGACAGCCCAGTGCTTATTGTGATGTGCTGTCAGACTGTTAGCTCATTTTGTACCTCTCATCTATTTCTTCTCAGGTGGCCAGCTCTCTGGTGATTGGCACGTTCCTTATAGCACCACTCATGACGGCGGACCTCTGACTATGACCTCTGTCCGTCTGTCCCCAGGTGGCCAGCTCTCTGGTGATTGGCACCTTCCTCTCTGCGCCGCTCATGTTTGTCTCGGCCTGGATGGTCAGTCTGTACTCGACTGTAGAGCCGTCCCAATACATCCAGTACATCGACCAGTACATCTTCGACATCAGCACCATCGGACTCGTCTGCTGCGTGAGTTATACCCTGGATCCTGGTTCTAACAGCGGTTGGTCAAAATCATGAACGGCTCCTATCTCCTTTTTGCGGCGAGTTTGATATACCTTTGCTGAGTGCTTATCGTGCAGTTGTTGTATCATAAGTTTTATTCGCCTTCACAGTTTTGTTTATCTGTGACTCCTGTACTGTCTACCGCGCCCCAATTAGCGAACAGCTACAATACCGTGAACGCGTGCCCCTGATATGCTTTAAGATCTGGGTACTGGGAGTTTTCATGCTGAGCGGACGCCGGTCAGCACTCGCACCACATTGAACCCCGTCTCTGATATGTTTCAGGTCTGGGTACTGGGAGTGTTTGTGCTGAGCGGCAAATTCAGACGGGTGCCGCACTTCATCACCACCTGCCTGATCGTCTCTCAGGTGAGGAACTCGGGATGCGCCGTGTCGGATGGGGTCGCAGAACCCAACACCCCGTGATCCTTAACAGAATCGTGTCTCAGGTGAGGAGCGCGGGTCCCGACGCCCGTCTCGGACCGGGTCAGGTCGTGTCACAAGCGGGTCACGCACAGTATCCGTATAACGGTTTCAAATCGTGTTGCTAGCCCCCACGGCCCAGACCCCGTCGCAGGTCGTGACACACCCGCCCGTATCGGGTCGCGTCACAGGTGGAGCCCAGCCGTTACTCTCCCTTCCCTCACCATCAGTGTCCATGGACAGGTGTGTGGGTGATGTGTGTAGATGTAGCCTGGTGCTAACGGTCCGCGATACAGCCGGCCGTACCCAAATAACGGGCCATTAGACGGGAATAAGGTGTTAACTCGGGCTCTGAGGTGTTTGGTGGACTACCGGCTGTCCTCTGCAGCAGCTGCTGTCGATTAGTGGCGTGTCACTGGCAAAGGTCTGCGTGGCTCCATACCATCTCTGACTCAGAGAGAATCTGTACTAGCCTGCCTTATTCACTATTCAGCACTATCCAGCTACATAATGACGTGTTATGCGACCCATCCACTCCTTACTGTGTCATCCCAGAGGTCAGACAGTGATTGGACGTGTAACCTGTCCTTCCCATACCATACGCCATCCTCCGGTCAGGCTATATCCCGTCGGCCGTGACTTCCCTGCTGTGTTCCAGTTGATGTCCTTGTCTCACCACCCCGTTTGTACCTATTGCAGGCGGTGGCCTGTGTGGGCGCCATCCTGTCCACACAGCTGGCGTGTCCGACGGCCGGCTGGCAGTACTACCTGCACTTCCTGCCGCTGGTGGTGGGGGTGCTGAGCAGCCGCGTGTGGACCGCGCTGCTTGCACTGGCCCTGCTCTTGCTGCGCACACGCTCGCTGTGCTTCGTGCTGCGCTGCCGGCTGCCCTTCATGGCCATCGGATGGGCGTGAGTGGGGGGAGGAAATAGTGGGTTGGATCGGCTGGACCGTTCCGTTTGACCCTCAGGAAACATGCCTATTCAGATCGTGTTTTTTATGTCTTGACATATCATTTTGTTGTTGTGTCCACTCTACTTCACTAAAGCCGACGTATCCACTTCAATTAAATATGTGTCCCGAACTTGACGACCCGTTATTTGCGACGTTCTTTTCTTTCAAGCAAATAACTATGTAGACTATAAAGATAGGACCTTGTAGTCATCTTGTCCGGTCCTGCTGACCTTTCGACCATTTGTCCGTCTCAGATTTCCGCTGTGTCTGACGATTGTGCTGCTGGCCACCAACGAGGGACACCACATGTACGAGGGCGACCCGAACTTCCAGCTGGGTCAGTTCCAGTCCATCACGGCCATCGTCATACTCAGCGTCTCGCTAACAGGTGAGATCGTCTCCCCTATTCTCCCCGTTTCCCTGTCCTCCGTATCCCAGTCTCCCGTCTATCTGTGGCAGGTAAGTCAGTCCCGTGTTCCCTGTGGTCGAGACCCCTGGGTGAGGTCTGTCTTCCTGACAGTAAGGTCCGTCTTTCCACTCCCTCACAACTTCCTGGTGGGTTGAGATCGTTTTGGTTCTCCGCGTCCCATCTTGCGTGAGTCGGGTCTTCACTCCTAAATTTCCCAAGGGATGATCGTTCTAAGATTTGCTCATTTCAGCCAGTATTGAACTATCGACTATTGGCAATGTTACGACTTTCCAGTCCCTCCGTTGTCTGTCCCGCAGTGACTCTGTCCTGTCTGGCGGGCCCTAACCCTCTTGTCTGTCCCGCAGTGACTCTGTCCTGTCTGGTGCTGCACCTGCGCTACAGCCACGTGTACCGCCAGTACACGCCCCACCTGATCGCCAACGGGCGCGGCTCACCGGATATGAGCGTGGGAGGCCGCTCCCCGGAGCCGGGGTCACGGTCGGCGGTCACCAGCGACGCGGAATCGGTGTCCGAAGGACAGGCGGATATCACCACTGGTGAGGATACAGACTATAACACAGACTGTACACCACGGGCACGGCGACACGGACTCGGTGTCCGGGGGACAGGCGGGTATAACAAAGGGCTAATCATGATGATGAGGACCTTTGAGATCGTTGGCCATTATCGAAGGTAACGACGGCGTCACCACCGGTTACCGGGACAGTACATCATTGATTCAATAGCCCGGACAGTGGACACTTTGCTAAGGATGTGTGTTTGAGCCGTGCGTCTGATTTTTTGTAGTCAACGTAAGAAGCCAAACGGCGTTACCTTTTTAATGCATACCGCGTCAGTTCTGGCTGAAGGTACTTTTTTGCTTACAGTCACCCTTACCCTGTGTCTTTGTGCAGTGAACGACATCGAGGACCTGGTGCCGAGCAGTAACGGTGGACCGCTCGACAACCAGACGACGTGTACGAGGCAGCGGCCCTGCAACCCGGGACAACAGCAGGCCTGCAGGTAGGGAGTCGCACTTTAAGCCTGTAACACGGTAACTACTATCGGCCTGTAAACGGGGACAACAGGTCATAGGCCTGCAGGCAAGGACTGCGAATGACTACAGCCCGGTGCAGCTGCAGGTCTGCAGGCGAGAGAAATTTCTGTCAGAGACTGTTACGCAGCTGCAGTAAAACTGTCCTGTAAATGGCACTGTTATCCCTTCCCCTCTGTCTTTATTTCTTACACCACATCTCTTCCTCCCTCGCCCAACTGATCCCTCTACCCGCCGTCTCCCTACAGGCAGCTGGTGCGCGACTACTTTGACCAGGAGCGGTCGGAGCTGAGCTCTGTTCCTCCCATCAGTTACCTAACTGCCTCCTCTCCCGTCCTACAGGCAGCTGGTGCGCGACTACTTTGACCAGGAGCAATCGGAGCTGAGCGGCGCATTCTGCGAGGCCGAGGACCAGCTGCAGACCACCAAACACGTCATCATGCTGCTGCTGCTCAGTCTCTCCATGATCGTGGTGAGTTACCGGGTGCAGCAAGAAATGGATTGTGAATCTGGAGGTGGTATTCGTCATGGAGAAAGACCAATTTCATCGTTAAGTAGCATTGGCAATCTGCTTCTTTTTTTTTTTGAAGAAATAACGGATTGAGATGGAATAAATCGATTAAAAAGGCATGTGATGCTTTGAACGCTAGATTGGCGAGGTCACAACAGGTTCCTTCACGGAGTGACTATCTCGTACTGTGAGTCCCGTCCGTTGGTGACCGTCCCGTAATTCCATTGTGCCGCCATGACAGAAGAGTCTGCTTTTTCCATTTCCAGATTGTCCCCTCCCACTGTGCCACCGCAGGGCCTGGTTCTCTCATATGCGACCGCTACTGTCCACCAGTGACCGTGCCCTGTCCCTTGTCACCTTACAGGGCCTGCTCCTGTCCGTGTGGTACCTGGTGATGGACACGATGTTCGCCAGTGACCGTCACCCGTGACCATCTCCTCACAGGGTCTGTTTCTGTCGGTGTGGAACCTGGTGATGGACACGATGTCCGTCACTGACCGACCCTGTGTCCTCACAGGGCCTGTTCCTGTCCGTGTGGAACCTGGTGATGGATACCATGTCCGTAATGACTGTCCCCTGTCTCCGTACAGGGTCTGTTCCTGTCCGTGTGGAACCTGGTCATGGACACGATGACGGGCATCTACGTGGAGGTGGACTTTATCGACGGCGCGCTCAACTTTGGCCAGGGCGTGTTCGTGTTCCTGCTGTTCGGCCTGGACAACGAGCTGATCGTCCTGCCGCTGGTGCACTGGTGAGTGGTGGTGACAATCTGGTGGTGGTTGGCGGCGGGAAGGATGGTGACAGTGGTGGTGTTTAGCCGGGCGGGAGGGATGGTGACTAATTAGTGGTGTCTATAGGACTGCCAGGGTGGTGCGGTTGATGTTGGATGTAATCGAGGTCGAAAGTTTAACTGCTTCCAGTTATAGCGAGAAGGGGGCGGTAAAAGATAACGTGCGTATTCTACATCACCGTCAGGCTGCTGGTAAGCCGATTAAAGTCGATAACTGTGTGGCTGCGACTGCCTCAAGCGTGACTTATCAACTGTGAATGTGCCTTACAGGTGGCGCCGTCTGTTGCATATGCGGCTCGTACACGGTCCACCTACCCGATGTTACTGTAATGATTGTATGTGACTGACCGTGACCTGACTGTTCTGTGATCATCATTACAGGTGGCGCCGGTTGCTGTACGGCTCGGACACAGTCCACCTGCCGGACATGTCCGTGATGACTGACTGTGACTGACTGTACCTTACAGGTGGCGCCGTCTGCTGTACGGCTCTGACACGGTCCACCTGCCGGACCCGGCTGTTGTGACTGAGGCTGTGACTGACTGTATCTGTGACTGTGTCTGTGACTGTGTCCTCACAGGTGGCGCCGTCTGTTGTACGGCTCGGACACGGTCCACCTGCCGGACATGTCCGTGATGACTGACTGTGACTGACTGCATCTGTGACTGTGTCCTCACAGGTGGCGCCGGTTGCTGTATGGCTCGGACACGGTCCACCTGCGGGACCTGTCCGTGATGGCTGACTGTGACTGACTGTATCTGTGTCTGTAACTGTGACTGACTGTGGCTGTTTACAGGTGGCGCCGTCTGCTCTATGGCTCTGACACGGTCCACCTGCCGGACATGTCCGTGATGACTGACTGTGACTGACTGCATCTGTGACTGTGTCCTCACAGGTGGCGCCGGTTGCTGTATGGCTCGAACACGGTCCACCTGCGGGACCTGTCCGTGATGGCTGACTGTGACTGACTGTATCTGTGTCTGTAACTGTGACTGACTGTGGCTGTTTACAGGTGGCGCCGTCTGCTGTACGGCTCTGACACGGTCCACCTGCCGGACCCGGCTGTTGTGACTGAGGCTGTGACTGACTGTATCTGTGACGGTGTCCTCACAGGTGGCGCCGGCTGCTCTATGGCTCGGACACGGTCCACCTGCCGGACCTGGCTGTGGTGTCTGTGTCTGTGACTGACTGTGGCTGTTTACAGGTGGCGCCGTCTGCTGTACGGCTCTGACACGGTCCACCTGCCGGACATGTCCGTGATGACTGACTGTGACTGACTGTATCTGTGACTGTGCCTTACAGGTGGCGCCGTCTGCTGTACGGCTCGGACACGGTCCACCTGCCGGACGTGTCCGTGATGACTGACTGTGACTGACTGTACCTTACAGGTGGCGCCGCCTGCTGTACGGCTCGGACACGGTCCACCTGCCGGACCCGGCTGCTGTGTGACTGAGGCTGTGACTGACTGTGGCTGTTTACAGGTGGCGCCGTCTGCTCTATGACTCGGACACGGTCCACCTGCCGGACGTGTCCGTGATGACTGACTGTGGCTGACTGTATCTGTGACGGTGTCCTCACAGGTGGCGCCGGTTGCTGTACGGCTCTGACACGGTCCACCTGCCGGGCCCGGCTGTTATGACTGAGGCTGTGACTGACTGTATCTGTGTCTGTAACTTTGACTGACTGGCTGTTCACAGGTGGCGCCGGCTGCTCTATGGCTCTGACACGGTCCATCTGCCGGACGTGTCCGACCTCGACCACGAGACGCGCCAAACGTGCAACCAGTTCATCAACTACCACCTGATGGCCTGCAAACGCGAACTGGTCACCGACAAACGGTACGGGAAAAACATCCGCCCCTGATTTTTTTTTTTCATGATAAACCATCTTCGTCCCTGCTCGCCCAATGCTCGAACTGTCTTGCCTGGGCTCTCACCCTCCCCCACACAGGTGGGAGCCGTTTGAGTTTCAGGGCGTTGTCCTGACAGTTGTCCTGACAGCCCTTGTGGCTGAGACGATTAGTGGTAACCTGGCACATATTTATTGCCATTTGGCATTTTCAAAGATGCAGTGAGCAGTTTTTTCCCTCAACATTGAGACGTTTGTCTTCGGTAAATTTATCTCGTCTAGCTTAATTTAGTCTGCAAGAATTGTCCTCTAAACTAATATTGAATCTGAAAATATTCCGTCACGTGACCCCCTGTCCTGACAGGTTCCAGCACGTGCTGTCTGCCCGTCTGAAGTTGTGTGGTCACGTGGTCTTTTTCCCGGCAGGTTCCGTCTGAGGCTGTTTGGTCACGTGCCCTCTGTGCCGGCAGGTTCCGTCTGAAGCCGTGTGGTCACGTGTCCTCTGTACCAGCAGGTTCCGTCTGAAGCTGTGTGGTCACGTGTCCTCTGTGCCGTCAGGTTCCGTCTGAAGCTGTTCCGTCACGTGCCCTCTGTACCGGCAGGTTCCGTCTGAAGCTGTGTGGTCACGTGTCCTCTGTGCCGGCAGGTTCCGTCTGAAGCTGTTCCGTCACGTGTTCACCGGCCAGGAGATGGTCGAGTGGCTGCTGCGCCGCGGTCTGGCCGCCGACCGCACTGAGGCCGTCAAGTACGGCCGCCGGCTGGTGGACGGCCGCGTGGTGCGCCACCTCCGGCAGCAGCACCACTTCCACGACCGGCACCTGTTCTACCAGCTGGTGAACGGCGGCCGGCCGGCGCCCCAGTCGCCGCCGCCCACGCCGCAGCCGCCGCCCACCGGCTGCGGGGTGGCCGGCTGCGGACAGGTCGGTACTGGCGTGTGCCCGCGCGCCGGCGAGACGACGCCGAGACAAAGGCAGTGAGCCATGGGTCAGACAGTACCCCAGCAGAGGCAGTGAGGCGGTGCCGCCACAGTGAGCTGGCGAGAGAGAGGCCCGACGGCCTGACAGCGGCAGTGAGCTGACGGCGCCCCGGCAGCCGACAGTGAGCCGGCAGGACAGCACCCCTTAGAACAACAGTGAGTAGGCGGCAGCGACAGTGACAGTGAGTTAGGACGGCACTCTGACAGCCACAGTGCGTCGGCCAGCCGGCGTCGCGGCAGTGAGCCGGTGCGCTCACTCGTCTGGACCCCTCGCGGTCCGTTGGGGGCGGAGGATCGGAAATCCCCTCTGTTGAATCGTCAGTCAGATCACTCAGTGGTGGCCTGCACGCTGAACGCGGCGGTGTGGTGAATGTTTTCACTGAGGTAACCCGCGGGCTGACCTCAGAGAGCGCGCCGTCAGTCTGCGAGATGGCCGTCAGTCTGAGCACAGTCTCCAGTAATTTACATGACCATGACCAATGTGTTCGTCGTATTTTTAGGGCATTATGGATATTTGTAATAGAAAAATGCCCATTTAGTCAAGGTTGCCATAAGGGAACCGCGTAGTTTACATATACGGCATAGTTAGGCAGCTGCCATTGCGTTAGAGAACCCATGCTAACTTAGAAGGATTACTTAATTTATTGCATTTTACGGTACTTTACTCTTCTTACAGAATGAGAGTCAGGTGGCGATGGTCGATTCTTGGACGCTCCAAGTTGATGCAACGATCAAATTTGGCCCACATTAATTGCATATCGAGCGCCGGCGTTTGGGGAGGCGCGTTCGGCGGTGTCACTGGGTTGTCACACGGCCCCTTTAGCTCGGCGCTCCCGCCCTCACTGGTCGGTGTTGGTTCAGCGGAGCCCGTTGGCTCGGTCCGACAGCCGGCCGCGGCCCGGACTGGCAGCCATGCCCGCGGCGCGGCCGGCCCGCCCGGCTGTCCCTCTGTCTTTCACTGGCGGCTGGCGGTCCGCAGCACACAGGGAGATGTGGCACGGATCTTCCCTGGACAGGGTACACTGACGAGACTGGGCGCTGGTTGAACACGGAAAATTCCGACTGATCAGTCATGAATAGCGGTCGGCCCAAGATGGGCGTTGTCCTGTGGGTTATACACCGCAAGACCCGTCGTCTCTCATGTGTTTCTGGCAAAAAGTTAAGTTGCCATTTGTGTAGTCTTTTTACCCTTCATGTGCGATAGATCGTGATATGTTTAGTGCTCAGTTAGGCTGTCAGTGGCGAACAATGTTTATGTGTGCTGTTCGTTTGCGCTTCTCGACTTCGTTTTAGGTACGGCGAGAACCGAGTATTGATGAATAAGAAGCCCGTATTCATATCTGGTTTTAAGGATTCCGAGCGGTTGTAGTGATCGTTTGTTTATGCTAGTGCAATTGTTTGTGATGATGATGCCCGTTATCCCATGACACCATCATACATCACTGTTATTATGACTACTTGAGCGCGCGCTTCCAACCTGTGTTTGAATCGAGTCTGGATAGGCAACTCGAGGTCGTGTTAATTTAGTCAAGATACACACCTATATTTGTGTCGTCTGCTGTGTAACTGTGACCCTGAACAATATACGATGTTGTGATGTCCGCTTGGGACCCCGGACCATCCCGGATCGTCCCCGACCGGAGACCGGACGCCGCCGCTGCCGTCAGCGACTCCGGGCGCCCCGGCCCCTGTGTCGGCGGCCGGCGCCCTCCGGTCTCAGCGGGACGCCCTGCCCCGCTGGTGGCGCGGCCGTGGTTGTCAATGTGACGTGGACGGTACCTCGTCCGTGTCATGTTGTCATGTGTTAGTCATTCAAAGAACAATATACACGATGTCAGCAGCGATCGCTAGTTTACGATGGTATCGAGTGACAGGGAGCGCCGAGCGGAGCGTGAACGCAAAGGACAAATAACAAAGCACGTCTACGCTTTTAAATGGTCTTTTAGCATAGCCTAACCAAGTCACGAGCCCAACATCAAAGCGGAAAGACTTGTCACCCACCCCATGTAGGTGACGTGTTTTGACTGCCAGCTGTGCGACCAGTCTCTCATCGATTCTCACACGAGGCGGCAGAGACATCCAGCCCCACTCGCTCCCTCTCACACCAGAGGCAGCCATTGTACGTCTGTTTATTTGGCGTATACGACAGGCGACTCGTGCTCGGGCGGCAGCACCCGCGGCAGGCGGACGCCTCCGGTGCATACCAGTATATCACATTGACTAAGGCGGGCCAGCTGGCCGACGGGCCGTGTATAATGAGCTCCAGCTGCAGGCACGGCGTGGTGGCTCTACCAAACACTCACTCAGTGACAAAACAACACACTTCCGACTGCTATCCTACGCTCTACGGTCTCCCAGCGTCAGCATCTACAAAGCGAGGCACAGTCTCACATCGGTCCGCCGTCCGTACGGTCCGCCATCAGCCACTGTAGTGCTCGGGGTACACACAGTGAAGAGGTACAGTCTCACATCGGTCCGCCGTCCGGCCGCCACAGTAGTGCTCAGAGTCTACACAGCGAAACAGTTTCACATCGGTTCGCACTACACCGTCTGGCAGGCTCCGGGTTTACGCAGCCAGGCACGGTCTCGTATCGGTCCGCTGTCCTGCCTGCCACAGTTTACCTAGCCGGGTACCGCGATAAGTCGATTTCGGGAATGCCGGCGGATCCTTTCTCTGCCACTTCCGCTTACATTCAGCGTCATAAATCACACACGACTACATGATGGGCGCGGTCACGGTGTTTGTTTTAGCTGTCGCCAGCGCGATATCGCGATATCACATGTCGTATGTTGCGTAACGAATTATCTTGTGTGGACAGCAAATGTCTGCCCTCTTCTCCCCCAGTCTAAGCACAGATCGTGACGCCTAGAAGACGGACACTTTGGTGTTGTTCGTGACATAATCACAGACAGTGAGCGCAGCACCCCCGACCACCATCCAGTTTAGACCAGCCAGGAGCGGCCCGGCGCCGGTCGGCCCGGCAGACCAAACACGTCCCCTGAGACGGGGACCGGTCAGCGTCACATACCGCCCCGGTCCGGCTCAGTAGCTGGCACCCGGCGCGGAGAGGCCAGGGGCTGTAGACGCTAGTCGTAGGCGTCACAAACCGCGCCGCCGTCGGTCCGATCTGGTATCTGGCACCCGGTACAGGACGTTTGTTAGGTCTGTGGACACTGTCCGTCAGCAGCACATGATCGGGTGAAGTCCCCTCCAGCGCTGACGACAGACAGCAGAGGCCGGACGGCGGCGGGGACCGTCCCAGGCCCCACAGCGCTGCTCGGTATCACACCGCGCTCCTGTCGCCACAACCTCCCATCCTGCCGAGACCCGGCGGTCCGGACTCCGGCGGTCAGCGGACAGCAGGTCATTCCCGACCCCACACCGCGCCCCTGTCGCCACACCTCCCTCCTGCTGAGACCCGGCGCCCGGCGGACGCCAATCGAGCGTTATCGCTACTATCGATCGACTAACAGCGGCGCGGCGATCCGACAAAAAGTGCCCGACTAACGAGACGGCGGGCATCTGATTGGCACGCGCCCGCCAGCAGGTAATGGCAGTGTCGGCCTATACTGGTCGGCTGTCAGGAACGATAACGTAGTCTCAACACAGTAGGAGAAAACCGTGAAATAAAACAGACCAAATACCAGCCGTAAACCATGTGGTGTCAATGTATCGACATTTTTATCCGATGTGACGGTAGGAGAGAAGTATGCCGGGAGGAACTGTGCGTCTTTGGTTGTCGCCTGAGTTTCCCGATGAACCAATCGAGGAACACAGTTTATACAGCCGCAGTGAGCAGCTGCAATGGTCGATCGTGAATGTCCGGATGTTTCTGTATAACAACTCCAAAGTGCAGCTTACTTTTACGTGTGATGACAATAACAAAATAATTGCTGACATTAAAGATCCACTTTGATTAAATGCATGCAAGCTAGAGCACCAATAGAGCTGATTCAATAGAGCCATACTAGAGCTGACTGAAGCTTTCGACTAGTTCGCCCTCACTCAAAACAGCTGTGATCGGGGCGGACGATAGCACGCAAAAATTAGCGGTGGATTAAACTACTACAAAGTACAAACCAAAGTCTAGGACAGCAGCCTACTAACACTTGGTCAAGGGCAAGGCAAACAATCATGTAGAATGTGGATTACACTGAAAAATAATCACTAAACTAATGCATGATAAAAGGCCAAGTAGCTTTTGACAGAATTCGATGCAACTAGAACATGGTCGCATTCATTGCTAATAAAGATCTACTCAAATTATTACACACCATGATAAGAATCACAAAACTACGATAAATACCACAAGATATGATTCGAACTACCATTCAACACCTAGCTTCACTCTGAAGAAGACAAAAATGACTATGGCAAGACGCATCCCACCTGCACTGCAATTGACACACAATAAATGACTCCCCCACACAATAACAAATGAGCACGGCTGACCGTCCGCTCCCCGTCGTTCCGGGGTGGCGTGCGGGCCCGTCAGCTGACAGCAGTCTGACGCGTCCCACCGGACGGCCGGCCCGGCTAGGGCAGCTCCAGCAGCCCGTACTGCTCCGGCCCGGCTAGGGAAGCTGCTCCGGTCCGGTTAGGGCAGCTGCTCCGGCCCGGTTAGGGCAGCTCCAGCAGGCCGTGCTGCTCGTACAGTTTCTGGGTGTCGGCGTACACGGCCTGCATCACGTCAATACACTCCAATAGCGTGTCCTTGTGCTTCTCCTTGTCACTGCTGTCGCCTCCGACTGCCTGCGACCGGACAGAGGGGAGGGGGTCAGCTTGGGTCACAGCAAACAGAGAAAGGGAGAAATCAGAGGTACCGGACAGAGAGGGAGAGGTCAGGTCGGGTCATAGATGCCGAACAGGGGGACAGAAAGGTCATAGACACAGCACAGAGGAGGGAGAGGTCAGATACCGGTAAACGAAGGGATGAGTCAGCAGAGGCCACAGACACCAGAAAGGGGAGGGAGGGCTCGGGCTCAGGTGGTTACAGACGGCTAGAGGGAGACGGAAATTCCTGGCACGGACAGATTAACGTCCAACGTGCCTGCTCTACTCAGATGACTAATGTGTGCTCATAGCGCAGATAACGACACACGCTGAACAGCGACTAAGCAGAGCCCGAGCGGCAGTGCAGCCCGGTAGGGTCAGTGTTTGTGGCTCAAACAGACCGGGTGGGAGAGCGATTGGCGACACTCCAGCAACAGAAGAAAGCCGACGGACATCTGGGCTGGGCAGTTGGGGCAATAATCATAACGAAAGCCTCCGTTTAATTTGTCGTCAAAATGAGCAAGGCTTCACGGTAAACAACCACAAAAACGGAACGTAAACCATAAATATAGCATGGACTACAAGTTACAACACTACCGGGTTCCCTAACGGCTGCCACGGTCGATCCACCGTCTATTCGTCACAATCCACGCCGCTGCTCATATTGGCCGTCCATTCTCTCCGCACTCTCACCTTTTCGACAATGTCTCCGCGCGTGCCCAGCATGTGCATGGCGAGGAGGGCGCCCTGCTGCACCAGCCACGGGTGGTGCACGGCCAGCGTGCGCTTGTACGATGCCTGGCACACAGAGCCCATCTTCTGCTCGTCAGAGCGGTCGTGCAGCTCTCGCAGAAAGTCGGCGATGAACGCTTCCCGGACACAGATCGTTAGATGAGTAATTCAAAAGTGGTGGGAAATAAAGAGATTCGGAAATCGCCTGATCGCGCAAGAAGCGCACCGCTTTCAAGAAAGGGGGCGGTGGCACCAAGGCACGCGCATATGGAATCAAAGCGAAGCCTGCAACCAGCGTTCAAAACGAAATATGCGCGCAAGAAACTACCGAGTAAGAGGCGACACATCAGACAGCACAGCTTCCTGTGTCATAACATGACACCCTACACCTCTGAGGCACTGAGCTCACCGATTCTCCCCTCCCACGACTCTCCAAGCCCCGGCGGCCTTACCAAGGGCGCGGTGCAGTCGGAGGAGGGTGCGGCACCCGTTGCCCGCCTTGTCAGACTCAAAGACACCATTCTGTTTCTCGTAGAGAATCATGCGCTCGACGGTGACGTAGCTGTCCGAGGCGCCTCCCTTGCGCAGACACTCGAGCTGCACCAGCTTCTGGTGGACGTCGGAGCCCACGAAACCAAATACAGTGCCCAGCAGACCGAAAAACCTGAGGGCGAGTTCAGTCTACATTATTTTGATGTGTGATACAGACTAAACCACACATGTACTGGATAACATGAAAAATATCATAACTACCATTATGAAAAAGTACATTCCTTACCAATAAAATGTCGATGAAAGACAAACACTAAAAAAAAAAACAGTATTGCGATGTTGAGCAAGTGATTTAGTTTATTGTAAATCAGCAATCATCATGCATAGGCCCATGACAGTTGGAATCAGTGTCATTGGCAAACACAAACGAGTGAATCATGCAGCTGTCTTACTTGTTCAGCTCGACATATCCAGCAATGTAGTCATCCATGGTGAGGCTTCCACCTGTGTCCTCTCCACATTTCTTGAAACTGGCCAATACCAGGCCTATGTCAAACTTTGAGTCCTTCGAGTCTTTAACATGAGAGTTACTCATTGTTCAGCCGCTCTTGAGCTTTGAAAAACTGTGGATAAAGAAAAAACTGTTAAGAAAATTATAAAATACAGATTGAAGGATTATTCAGGAGCCTTGAACATGAAAGGAAATTTATCATGGACACATTTCAGGTGTATAGTCTTTCTACCAGGGGTGCAGGGCCGGAGCCGGAGCCGGCGCATTTTGCCCGGAGCAGGAGCCGGAGCCGCCATGACATTTCACCCGGAGCCGGAGCCGTTTTTTCTCCGAAGCCGGAGCCGGAGCCGGAGCTGTCTGAAATTTCCATGGCTCCGCATCCCTGCTTTCTACAATGGTTTCAGTCTTTGCTGGCATTCCACGTAATGCCTAGAAATATTATGGAATGCCACATTTCAGCCAATCCTTACGACATCTCGCTCTAAGGTACATCTCGATTCTTAGGTAGCCTATCTAAGGTGCTGCAAGCTTTTCCAAAAGCGTATGGACTATGGAGCCTGGAATTTACTTGCTGGCATTTCTCAGCCTCTCAAAGGAAGATCTTTGGAAACAAGATGGACCCGGGTTTAGGGCACAGATTGTTTTGCCTAAGCAGGTCAGAGGTCAGGTCAGTCAAGGTCAGGTCAAGTAATGTAGAAACTGCAAGTTTCTACATTACTTGCTACATTCTTTGCCCAGTTGGCAAAGAATGGACTGAGATTGGTTGCCCAACACACATTCCTACCTAGGCTACCAGGGTTCAGGAATAGATGCATTGCATACAATGGCATGCAAAGGGCAAGGTGTCCCGAGGGGCGAGGACAGGTCAACAAAGACAAATTATAGAATAGGATCTGTGTGACACATGTTATATGAGTCATTTTATTCATAGAACTCAATGGACTTACTCAGCTAGTGATTTGGATCATATCTGGATGAAGCTCAGGTTAAGGTCAGGTAGGATCAAAGCTTGAAGTCGATTATTAAACCCTAAAAAGGCTTGTAAGATAGTTTTCATGACAAACAGAACAGAGCAGTGCCATTGCTATTACTGTATGAGGTCTAGAGCTATTAAACCTTGAAAAATGCATGTGTCATTATGTCACCAAAATTTGAACAGCTCCTAAATTTTTGAACTGATTCTTCTAAAAAGTGAATGTAAATGCACAGACCCAAGATAGTAATTTTCCAACAAATACTTGAGCTTTTTTGTTTGATCAAAATTCTAGAATTTGTAATGGTTTGCCAAAAAAATCAGTGTTTATGTTAAATCGAAATCCCAAATTTTCAACAGCAAAAAAAAAACTGACAGCCACTCGCCCATTAGAAAGGAGAGGTAGAATCACATACAAACCTCTTGCTAGTTGCTATTTCTTGATTTCTCAAAAACTGAAGATGTTTTAGGCATTTCAAGCTTTGAGCTTTTTCAAGTGTATACGGAATAGCATAACGTCACTAAAATGTCATTTTCCATAAACCTTTGGATAGATTTTGCTAAAAATCAAAGGCAACATGTCAAATTGACGTACAATAAGGTACAGAAGGTTTGAGAGTGCAGGCTTTACACGTTTAGAAGCTATTTGCCAAAATCATTTTACCTGGCAGTGGCGAGACACTGTGACTGGTTAAATGAAGTGTCAGTCAAAGGGATGTAAAATGACTTCAGTTTTAATGGGCTAGCATTTTCCAAATAACTAATTTACTGACTATAGGTATTTCATTTCAATGAAAGCAAAAGAAATAATCAAACAGAAGCAAATGGTGTCACACAATGCCATGTTTCATATCCATAAAAATGACTTTAAGTACAGGATGGAGTAATTGAGACATCTGTTGAAAGAACAAGCAGACTACAGTTCTAAGCTGCCACATAGGGAGGGCTCAGAGTCAGGACTCACAGGAGACGGATGACGTCATGGGGTGTCAAGGTTTTTGTCAATTTTAAAGACATTGCTGTGCAGCAAATAATCTTTCTTAGGCTCTGAGCCCAAAAGTTAATTTCAAACTGCCTTAGAGGCTAAAATCCTCAAAGATAAATATTGGCAAAGATTGGCAGACACCAGCTGACGTCATCTTTCAGTCACCGATGTAAACAAACAGCTTACCATTCTACCACCTATATACGGCCTTGGAAAGAAGGGACCACTACAGATTAAATTGTGTAAGAAGGGTATGTGAAATATTAAATGGAAATAAAGCCAGTGAGTCATGATGATAACCAATCACAATAACCCGGTTTACATAGCATATTTGTCGAGGCTCTAGCTCGTTAATTTGCCGATAATTTTGATACAGTGGTCTTCAAATATTTAGAGTGGATCATTTTGTAAATTGTTTGGCACCATTGGCATCTTTTGCATTATCACGGACGGAGATATAAGCTTGCAACAAACCCTATGTAAACCGGGTTAATCATAATGAGCCCATTTACCAATGGGCTCCTATGATGTTTTCAAGTGATTAAAATGCATATTCGTGTGTCCATTTAGTACAAATGGGTTTTATGGAAAATATTTCTAGATCTAAGTGCACTACCCTCTTTACTTACAAGAAAAACCACTGAAATAATCGCGCAATCCACCCCTCAGCTCCCCCTTCTCATTTATGAGCATCAGCAAATGGCGCACCGCAAATGTATCCAAAATCAAGGATGCCAAATATATTTGTATTTGTTAACCATACTTTTAAGATGACGTCATCAGTTTTCAATTCCTTCGCAGCTACTCGGTAAAGAATCTTGACTCGGTACAAGGCAAGCGCGATACAAGGTTCTTGTACGCGTTTCACGCGGGTGGCGATGACAGATATGACACACCAGTGACCGGAGCTCTAGCCGGAGTTGGCCCTGGGAATCGGACTGCCCCGTACTTCCCCAGCTATCCCTAACGAAAAATCGCCGATGACATTGAAATCGCCTAAGCCCCTCCCCCTCCTACGCCAAGGACCGCGGCTACTCCTGGTTCAAGCCCATACGATGCTGCTCCTGATGGTACTGTGAGGCGCGAGCACTTTTCATATATTTAATCGGCATTGTTGAATTACGGTTCTGCCGCACGCTAGGCGTCACGTCGGGTGGCGCAACCCGAGAGGGCCTAGTACACGGTCGCACAGCCCTTTCCCGGTACAGGAAAAAAGTAGATCCAACACCTTCTTCAAGCGACAACTTCCTCCAGGTCCTGGCTCACCCACACCGTGGCTTTCCGGCCTCACCAGCTTCCAGCAGCTGGACTTTTTTCCAGCAGCTGGACTGAACAATGACCACTCAGATCAAACGGTCAGCACTACCCGGCCTCCAACTCGCTACCAGTCCACCGAGTCAGGCATCCCTCCCTAGATCACGAGCACAAAGCTCCACACTTAATCAGAGGGATCCAACAAACACATGGCAGCATTTCAACCAGCTCTCTATTCCATAATGACCACAGTAACATTTCGCAGGCAAACGCGGCTGGAACCGGATCCAAATACGAATCAATGCCAGACCAGCGTTCGATATTAGAAACGGTGGCCAACTCAATACGTCAGAGATTATCTCAAAATGACTCGCAAATAAGAACAAACGGTTGATCTCGAGGATGACTGCGCTTCGGTGTAGAGCCAACAAATGCCTCAAATAAACATACAGTATATGCATTTCCCACTAAGCGGCGTGCACAATATCTGCCCCGCACATAACGATAAGCTCCAGCCGGCCACAGCGGGCGCGGCGGGGGCGCGCAGTTTTCACGTGCCGGCCGCTATACAAACGCACCACGCCAGTACCTCCTCTATGCTCGGACAGGGCCCCGCTCACCCCGCCCGGACCGCCCGAAGGCTAATAATTCTCACCAAACTCCTCTCAGCTGCTATAAACATCAGACACCCGTCACTAGTCGGCGCAGCTGACACAAACACGATGGCAAGCTGGGCGGCTCACAGGCGCCGCCGCTGTCCCTGCTTTTTACACAAGGCCCGTCACACAGGGGCTCCACAGCGACTCCACAGCACATACCGGTGCTCCACAGCGCAGACCGGTGCTCCACAGCGTAACACCACACATCGCAGAGATCACCAGAACGAGCACCTGGTAGAGAGACAGACACGTCAGAAAGACGGATGGAAGGAGTGCAAAAATACCGGTTATATTAGACGGAGGGCGCATGCCGCATATGGCACGGAGACTGAGGCATCAGGACGGCCGGGGCAGCCGTGCCCTCCACCAGTACGCCAAAAGTAGGCACATAACGAGTGCACAGTACACATTTTCAAGCCCATAAGATACATAACATCCTCTCAACGATCCAAGAAAATGCAACAGTTCAAGTCCACGTCATCATATTATTATAGCTCGATGGATTTTGAATCACTAATTCCTCCAAATGCACCACTTTGGCTGGCAATATCCATCTCCCCCGGGTCCCGGACTACCACTCCCTCTCCCCCTGTCAACTCACCATCCGATATAGCACTGGCAGAGGTTCTCGTGCGATGTAGCCTGCAGGATGAGCCGGTCCACCTGGTCGCGCACACACAGCGGCACCTCGTTGGCAAAGTCCGTGCCCGTCAGCTTGTCCCGCACCCGCTGGATGATCTGCACGGCCTTCTTGTTCTGCGCCTCGGGCACCACGGCGTCACCGTCCCCTGGCAGAGCGAGCGGGGCGCTCAGAGATTCGTGTAGACGGGACAGCCGGTATGTACTGAGTCAGTCTTGCACAGCGTCGATGTGTACCGTACCCAGAACAACGAGCCGCCCCACGAAATAGCATTGGTCATAATCCAATTAGAAGACTGGCGTCAGAACTCAAAAGTATCAACGAAATAGTCCGAGATGCTACATGACGGCAGTGTAGTGGCAACGCAAAGGATCTTAACATCAGCTTACGCGCACAAACTCTGCGCGTGATATTTTGCCGTTATGTCAGAAAAAAAATCTCACCAGGTCATGGTCACATGAAGGTTACCTACAAGCTTACAGTGACAGATGCCACAAAATTAAACTTTAAAATGTCACCACCCAACAAATGTGGAAGAGTACTGCATGGATCGGTAGTTCTGGTCCATTACGGTAACGCCCATTTCCAGCGTCTGACACTCCGCGGCTCCGCGCGGCGCCCTCACCGATGCGCTGTTGTCCCTCGATGCTGCTGTTGTGCCGGCTCCTCAGCGGCGGGCTGGAGCCCAGCTGGGCGCCCTGCTCGAGCTCGGCGGCGTCGCCCTCGGCGGGCCCGCCGGCGCCGCCCGGGCCGCCGCCGCCCGTCGGGTGACGCCGCACCTGCTGCGGAACGAGGACGAAGTACTGGGTCAGGGGGCGCCAGGGTGGGGGCTAAGTGACTCCCTATGATCAAGCTCATGAGTCGGGAGGAAGAATGAACACAGTGCTGAGGAAAGGCCGGGGCCGACGACGGGGTGGTGCTTTGTTAGGTGCAGACACCCCCCATGACCTCGAAATTTGTTGGACGTCGAAATCATTTGTCCACACCATCGGCACTCCAACGACCCCTCCCACCCAGTACACACAACGCATCGTCTGTGCTCCCCCACCGTCCGCCGCTCTGGTACGTACCGCGCGCGGGCTGTCGACCAGGCACCAGTTGAAGAGCGGGTCGTACACGAACGCCTCGAGCACGGCCATCAGACTGTCCTTGTTCTTCCGCAGCACCGTCATCACAGACTCGCACGTCATCCGGTACGTGCCCTCGATACCCGTCACCTGGAGGTCAGAGGTCAGATGTTAGTCAGATGTCGGTTAACTGTAGGCCAGAACTCAGACCGGAGTCATCGCTGGGCACTGGGCACGGCAGGTCATGAAGTACAGACCAGGCAGGTCACAAATCAGACGGGATGCATCGTTACAGATCTCACAGAATGTCGATCCGCAAAGATCAGATGGTGCACACTGCACATCACACGGATCGGAATTTGTCGTTTATGCATGATTATGGGTAATGGATAGAAATAAAGTTGAATTGGTGCAAAAGCATGCCACGTGAACTGGTTAGACGGAACTATCTACTTATGTAAATCAGACGTCATCAACATTGACAATAAATCCTGACTCAACGCGGCCCAACAAGCCACTGCTTCCGTCCAATGACGTTCCACCGTCTCACCTCCATGGCGTTGACCAGCATCCGCGTCAGCCGGAATGGGATCTTCTCGGGGAACTTTTCACGGGTCATGGCCACCTCGAAACAGTCGCCGAAGTCGATGTGCAGGATCTTGCCGCTCATCCGGTCCAACATCAGGTTGGACGGGTGTCTGCGGCAAACAAAGACGTGTCAGTGTGTAACTGAAAGCGAGGCGAAATTTTCGGACAGGAGTGCCCCGGCCTCTTCTACCTCCCCTCCCACTAAAAACAGCGGTATCGACTATCGAGTATCATGTGACGGGATGAGAGCTCGTATACCAACCACTGCTTCACAACAAGTCATCATAATTCCCCAGTTCCGACGCATCCCTCCCCAGTTCCCTCCCCACCAATCTCTCCCCCTCCTTCCTGCCCCTTCCCCTCATTCACCTATCTCCCAGTCCGAGCACGTATCCGACCATGCTCATCACTGCCAGTGAGCGGGTGAAGTTGGCGCGCCGGTCGAACCAGTCTTCCGAGGAGGGCGACTTGAGCCACAGCAGGCGCGCCAGGTCGTCGCCCTTGGTGGTCTCCAGCGCGTGCTCAAACACCTCCACCTTCTGTAGCAGCGTCAGGTGCTCGTAGTCCGGCGCCATCTGAGATGATATATCAGAGACAGGGGGAGGGGGAGGGGGTCAGTCACACAGACAGCACGGCGGCTTATTTATCTGCAGCAGCCCGGCAGGTGCTCGTAGTCGGCCGCCATCTGACCGATATCAGAGAGGTCGAATGGGCCAGGTCACTGGATGAGATGGCAGCATTATTCACATGAAGCTAGGCACACACTGTTTGAGATATTCACCACTACCGCTTCCCATATTCAGCACACCCCTACAAACCATACTCCCCACTCACCCTCAGCATGATTTTGTGCTCGATGTTGAGCATGATCTTCTTTTTCTCGCGGTGGTCCCTGATGAGCGTGTGCAGTGTGTCCGAGTGCGGTACCCAGCCGATCAGGCCACTGTTGGTGCTCAGCGGCACCACGGCGAACCGCTGGATGGCCAGGTTACGCCGCATCGTCTCCGGCGCCGTCTTCAGCAGCGTGTTCACCAGGCCGAACAGCTGCATCACCCGCTCGTCCTGGCGCAGGTCCTCGTGGCCCTTCACCAGGAACGTGTAGTCGCGACCGTCGCTGCCTGCGGAGCGCAACAGTGGACAAAGTTAAGCGGGAAACTGTAGGTGGACAGCAGCCTGTACCGCTACGTTGTAAAAAAAAAAAACAATGGAGCAATTACGGAATGCAATCACTCCAGACCTGAGTAGACGACAGAGACAGTGAACAATCAATACGAACTTAGCTCGAGTAACATCAAAACTAGACCACTGAAGATGTCATAAACAATCACCAGCTGCAGCCCAATTGAACCCTCATCCAGCACACGTTGTCCCAACCATCAGCGACCGCTGATCGGGTCACACAGGTCATCTACACAGATAGGGAGGAGGATTCAGCAAGCCCCCCACACACACAGGGACGCACCTCTCATGGTGACCTTGCGCGGCCTCTGTTTGGTGCTGAACACGGTCAGGG